CACTTTTTTAACTTCCCATCAAATTAAGCTATTATTATAGGTATGTATGTATAATATATATACACATATATTCATTTTTTAATTTTGTAATTTAGATGTTAGCTAGAGAACGCATCACGTTACGGTCATATTAGTCCTAAATATTCGAAAATGTTAATGAACGAGAGGCTTTGCGAAATATCTAGAACAAGGATTAGGCTATAAATATAGGTGAACCAGTCAGTTAGCCAAGTAAGCTTGCTGTGAAACAGTGGAGCATCAAAAAGATATAGAGATATTTTTAACCGGTAAAGTGAATCATTCTGTGTAGTTGCTTTTTTGGATCTGTGTTAGCTTTCACACATACTGAGTTACTTTGTACAAGTAAGTCGAATTTACGTTAGTGTTGTGCGGATAGCGTGATTGTAAATGTAAGCATACAAAAATTCAACAAGTTATAAAGTGTACAAGCCTGTAAAGAAATGTTAATGATGAAATAAAACTAATTTGACTGGACAATGAATAATTTTCATCAGATAACAAAAGAACAACGTTACGATACTGTTATTTAACGATACATAACAAAGTTCTATCAAGCCATTTGGCTAATCAAAGGTCCTTTCAACCTGCAATTTTTACACATCTGAATCAGAAACTTCTTTTTTTAGGATTTTATGCCATAATTCGTAACTGTCGTGTTATAAACCGGGTGTCATTATTTAAGGTTTATTTTTGAATTTCGCGCAAAGCTATCAGCGTAAGACCACAGGAAAGACAGCTAGTCATCACCACCCACCGCCAACTCTTCGGCTACACTTTTACCAACGAATAGTGGGATTGACCGTCACAATATAACGCCCCCACGGCTGAAAGGGCGAGCATATTTGGCGAGACGGGGATTCGAACCCGCGACCCTCATATTGCGAGTCGAGCACCATAACCATCTGACCATACCGGGCCCATTCTTTAAGGCAACAAATGAAAGAACATAATAGCTACAGTCATCAATACTTTCCAACTTGAAATAAATGTTGTAGACATATTTTCAATATGTTAATTAAAATGTAATTTTTGGAAAATGTTTTACCTCTAGTATTAGTTTTGAACAATCTAATTACTGTAGTTTGTGATTGTTGTTTTTTACCTAATGACGAATCCTTTCTTATAATATTTACGAACCTATTACTGCAATATTTCTAGAGGGCGTCACGCCCTATAGGCCGGTAATGAAATTTCTAGAATGTTGCTTCCCACCCGTTTATAACAAACGAACAAAGTAGTCGTGTGTCATTTCGAGCGTATTCGATATTAGAAATCTGAGTTTTCATTGTAAATTGTAATAAATAGTAACAAAGTAAAATAAACAGAATAATGTCCGTTATTGGAATCGATTTTGGAAATGAGAATTGTTACATTGCAGTTGCTCGTGCGGGAGGAATTGAAACAATAGCCAATGAATACAGTCAGCGTGTTACACCGTAAGTAGACTTTTAAAATTAAAGTTAAAAGTAGTACTACTACTACCAGTAATATTTCTATTAGTATTAGTACAACCTTAGTGAAAAAATGAGTAAAATTTAAGATTAGAAATGAAATATGGAAGGATTACCTTACGTGTATATTTATTAGATAAGCCTTTTTTTTTCAATGCGAAATATGTATTTTTTTTTATTTCACCTTGAAATTTTGCACTGTTGTAACTTTCACTTTCAGTCTTGGTTACTACCTCTGTAATTTATCTCAGTCCTATGTTAAGCATTTGGGTAAAATAGAATTGGGTGTTGTTTAATTGATGTAATTCAAAGTTAATTATAAGACTAGTTAGATCTTACATGAATGATGATGAAGTATTAAAATAACTGCATTAGTGAGTGCTGATTTGATTTATAATAAATAACTTTTCTGCTAATTGAAGTGTTGTTGCATATGTGTAAGCTAAAGAAATAATGTAACCCATTATCCACCAGCTGGGGTTTGTTACACAATAATGATACCTGTTGTATGTTATACAATAATTATACCAGTAAATATGTTTCCTCCCACAGTCAATATCACTGATAATGTGAAATCATGTAGGAGGAACCTTGGTAAATTTATATTTGTCTGTTTATCCTTCACTAGGTCATATGTGGCCTATGGAGAAAACAATCGTGATCTGGGTGTCTCGGCCAAAAATAAACAGGTGACTAATATAAAAAACACAGTGTTTGGTTTCAAAAGACTTATTGGTAGAAAGCTGAGAGACCCTGCTGTTCAAAGAGAGATGACATACCTGCCCTATGACCTCTGTGAACTGTCAAATGGTGACATTGGTGTGAAGGTAAGATTATATTTTTATGTGTTAGGCTTGTTATGAAAATGTACTCATTTTTTGTTGAAAAATGAAATATAATAGTGTCATTTAGTTTTCTTGATCAACCAAAGTACAGGAATATTTTATGGTTTTTTTTTTCATTTTCTTGTATTCTTCAACTATTATAAAATTTAATATTACTAAATTTGTACAATGAAGTGTAATTGCCAAGAATCAAGAAATTGGGGGATGAAAAGCAAGCCTTAACTCAGAATTGTTTTAAATTTTGATTGCTGCAAAACACTTAAGTTAAAGTATATGTCAAATATTTATTTTAATTTGCACATATTTAAGTAAGTCACTGTATTAGAGGATATTAAAAAGGTTGTGGACATGTAAGGCTGAAATAACTTTATTTTGTAACTTTTCAAGTTTTGTTTGCCTAATTATAAGCATAAGTTGTAAATTGTATGGTTATGACAGACTCAAAACTCTCGTGTTTAAGTTGTTTCATCCTGAATGTAAGCAACCTAACACCACCTGGTGTAGAGAGATGAAGTTAAGGAAATGAGGAGTTAAGCAAGGGTGTTGATAATTTTCTCTTCTCTTGTTCACTTGAAAACTCAAAATTGTAATATTTTCAATTATATCTGCCAATTTTAAGAACTAATTTCATTAACAGATTGGCAAAAATGAATCCCAGAATACTGGAAATGACACGAGTGTGTCTGTATTTCATGTTTTTCTCATGGGATGCACCCTTTTTTACAAAAAATTCTTAGTGTGGATCAAATTGTCTTTTGTTTTATGTAAGGTTTCAAAGTATTGTCTGTGTAATCAAGTTCATGTTCTAAGTGAATAGTGTATGTAGCTTTAAAAGAATGTTACACCTATGCAAATAAAATGAAAGATTCAATATACTGATTTTACAGGATGTTATTGTTTCATTGTAAGTTATCAAAGTTTTTTTTTCTACCTTTGAAAAAAAAGGTGACATATCTTCAGGAACAGACCATCTTTACTGTACCACAAGTCACTGCTATGCTATTTACAAAACTCAAGGAAATTGCCGAAACAGCTTTGAAAATAAAAGTGAATGACTGCGTGATAAGTGTAAGTAAAAGTGTTTTTTTTTTGTTTGATTAAATAAACAAAATTCCTTCGTAACACGTTTACTCACATAAGTAAATAGAAATTCAGAGAATGACAAACATGATATGTAGTGGTTTTGTTTTACTTTCGAACTGAGATTTGTAGATACAAACAAGATGGGGACTTTCCCAGTGTGCTGTAATTTAAGTATCTTCTCTCACTGTTTACCAAAAGTTATTTTTAATAGAAAAATAATTTAATTAATTATTTTGAACAATGCTAGCTAGCTATTTTCAACTATTTAATCGTTCTTTAAATTTTGGTATATGTGAAACTTTTCCTCAAAAATTACTTAGTCACTCTTTAACAGGGACAGAATATTTAACTTTTCCTTAAAAATTACTTAGTCACTCTTTAACAGGGACAGAATATTTAACTTTTCCTTAAAAATTACTTAGTCACTCTTTAACAGGGACAGAATATTTAACTTTTCCTTAAAAATTACTTACTTACAGAGTCGCCCTTTAACTGGGACAGAATAAGTTAACTTTTCCTTAAAAATTACTTACAGAGTCGCCCTTTAACAGGGACAGAATAAGTTAACTTTTCCTTAAAAATTGCTTACTTGTAGAGTCACTCTTTAACAGGGACAGAATAAGTTAACTTTTCCTTAAAAATTGCTTACTTGTAGAGTCACTCTTTAACAGGGACAGAATATTTTAACTTTTCCTTAAAAATTGCTTACTTGTAGAGTCACTCTTTAACAGGGACAGAATATTTTAACTTTTCCTTAAAAATTGCTTACTTGTAGAGTCACCCTTTAACAGGGACAGAATATTTTGGCTTTAATACACCATGACATTTTTTGTTATTAATTTTAATATTTAATCAAACTATAAATGTATTTTAGGGAATACATTATGTATGTATATTTTGATGTGTCTTCTTTGTACTTGCTGATACAGAAAAATGTCAGATTTGGTATCCTGTTAGTTTTATAATGGTTTTTATTGTTGAGTGGATTCTTTTTTTAATTGTTTAGTAAAAATGAAATACAAAATCGAATTCATTCAATGAAGATGAAAGTTTTATTTCTCTGATTACAAGCTCCATAAGTACATTTTATACAAGTTCCACACAACTAACAGTAGGCCTAACCTCACAAACATACTGTACTTCTCATATTTCTAGTACTGAACTTGCTGGCTGATTCAAAAAGCAATCAAGCAACAGTTTTGTGTGGTTCAAACCATATCCTATATATTCAAGAAAGCTCTTTAAGAAGTTGATAAAAATGCAGGAAATTGGTATACTTTCGGGTAATCTTGGACACTTCAGATACACGCTGATGGGAGTTCTAATTAGTGAAAAACATATTACCCCAATTTCTGTTCAAAAGTTTGATTTGGGTGCAGTTTACATAGAAATATTAAATAATTTTAATAATGTAATATTAATATAAGGTTTAGAACCTTGATACTTAATGTACTGTTTAACAAATCACAAAGATTTACGTAAGTTAGAGTTAATAAGAGAGAAAAAAAATATTGTTCCAGATAAGATGCATATCTATGTAAATACAATTTTTTTTACTTAAAGAATGCTTTGAAAATAAAAATTGTGTATTAATAACATAAACAACAACAAAGCATGGGAGATGATTCTTATCATAAACTGACTGATAGTTATACAGTAATTATCGGTTGGAAGTGTCTGTTGAAATGAAAATTAAACGAGTCTTAATATTACAAGTCAACATTAACTAAATGTTTACTGTGTTGAATTTTGGCTGTAATTACCTTGGGTGTTTAATGAAATAAGAAGAACAAGTGCCAACTAAGCAAAGGAAAACAGTGCCAAAATGTCAGGTGTAGCGTGACAAAAAAAAGTCACTAAAAACCCAGTATTTGTACATTGTAAAATACTCGTGTCTGAAATAAGTTTTCACCATCGTAGTTTTATTCTGAGGAGTAAAATACTTGTGTCTGAAGTAAGTTTTCACCATCGTAGTTTTATTCTGAAGGGTAAAATACTCGTGTCTGTAGTTTTCACAATCGTAGTTTTATTCTGAAGAGTAAAATACTCGTGTCTGAAGTAAGTTTTCACCATCGTAGTTTTATTCTGAGGAGTAAAATACTCATGTCTGAAGTAAGTTTTTACCATCGTAGTTTTATTCTGAGGAGTAAAATACTCATGTCTGAAGTAAGTTTTTACCATCGTAGTTTTATCCTGAAGAGTAAAATACTCGTGTCTGAAGTAAGTTTTATTTTGAGGAGTAAAATACTCATGTTTGAAGTTTACCTTGTTTTAAGTTAGTTTACAAAAGACCAACATAATTTTTGTGCATGTGTTCGAACTGTTTTCACTTAAAAGTTTCACATGATTTTCATGAAAATTTGTTTGGTTTTCTGTTTTCTCAGCTCTAGTGTAAAATAGTATAGTTCGTAATTCATAACTTTTGCTAGGCTGATAGTTTTTATGCTTAAAATCCCAAGTAATATTAATACCAAAAGTAATCCATGTTAATGGAATGCGTAACAATATCAACAGCAACGTTTAAGAGATGTGTAAAACAAAAGCTTAAATACAGGCTGTGGTGATACTATTTTTTCATTTTAGGTTCCTGTTTATTTCACCGATAGAGAAAGAAGGGCCATGTTAGATGCTGCTCAGATAGCTGGGTTGAACGTCTTACGTTTAATGAATGAACCTACAGCAGGTACACTTTGCTTGTAATATGTTGTCTTTCTAAAGGTTAAGTATATATCGCAAGGTTAAATATATATATATACAGGTATCTGTTTACAGCAATTCAAGTTTATAACAGTATCTATCACTTTTTATCAATCAACAAATGTGAATAGTTTTACAAAAATATTTTTTTGCAGTTTTATAGATGTAAAAATGTATTGTAAAATAATTAAAATCTAGTACTCCTTCTGAATTAGTCCATCAAAAGGTTACAATTCAATTTATTCTTGTAGTTTAGAGCTTCACAGTGATTAACAGTCTACAGTACTGTTACTCTAGAACAGTGAAACATCATTAGATAATGCTTCTTTTTGTGTTTAATGGTTGGAAGACCAAACTTTATTTATTTACCACTTCAGTATGTGTTTACTTAACATTACACTCTCTATAACTTTTAAACATATTTTTTTATATTTTTATTTATTTATTTTAACTTCATATATTACTAAATATTTTCTTGAATTAACCTTTTCAGTATTAGAACTGACAAACCATCAAGCTAGTCTTTATCCCGGATGTGGTCGAGTAACCACAGCATCAACAGGAGAAGACTATATAAGTAATCTTTTATACTGAAAGTCAAGAAGAGTATATAATAACATGTTAATTCTTTTTTCTCCCTCATACAGTTGCTTTAAATTATGGCTTCTACCAAACTGACTTAGATGATGAGAAGGCGAAGAAAGTGGTGTTTGTGGACATGGGTCATTCTGCTATACAAGTGTCAGCCTGTGCTTTCACTAAAGGTAAACTTAAGGTAAGTTTGTTGTTTCTTTGGTTATGAGATAATGATACTACAGAACTAGTGCTGTTTAACCCTGAACGTTCAGTATTTCTTTCTACTTTAAATAACAACAGCTCTGTTATTAGGTATCATATTTTATTAATTGTGGTGAGCTGTTTCACGTAACTCAAGATGTTTATTTTAATGTATAGACTTCAAACGAGCCACATATTCTTTTGTGTGTGAAAGTTAGGTTGGTCTAGGAGTAAAACTTAGAATTTCATAGTTTTTTTGTGACTTCGGTATAAGTATCTACTGTTTGTTTTTTATTAGGGTAAAAATCTTTGAAATAAACTGAATCAATAAATGTGTTTTTTCGTGTTTATTTACGAATAATTCATTAGCATTAGTTTACAGTACCACTGTGTAGATATATCCGTTCATTACATTGTGATTTTGTTTTGTCTTTATCAGCTGCTAGCTGCTTCGTGTGATGTAAATGTAGGTGGTAGAGACTTTGATAATATATTAGTTCGTCAATTTGCCGAAGAATTCCACACAAAGTACAAGATTAACGTCATGTCCAGCAGGAAAGCTATCGTGAGGCTACTTACTGAGAGCGAGAAGCTCAAGAAACAGATGAGTGCTAATCCACATGAGCTACCTCTGAACATTGAATGTTTAATGGAAGACAAAGATGTTACTGGGAAAATGAAAAGGTTTCTGTTTTAACATTATTATTTCTATTAAATAATTTGTTAGAATAACTTGTGAGATTGAAAGGAACTTACAAGAATGTTTTGAACAGATGGGCCATTAATGACTCGTATCAGTTTATTTAACAGTGTGAATACAGAGCATAGATCTGTGTGTTTAGTTGCTGTTAAAAATGCAGGCCATGGTTGTCTTGATGATGATACTAATCTGACGAGTTTTAAGCCTAATCTGTGCTATTTCACATTCTTTAGTTACTGTTGTTGCTGACAGATAGTAACTGCTTTATCTTACTTGTTACACATAAATATCCGATAATCTGTAATATATTTTGAAATTTGTGTAAATATGTGAATTTTATATCTTATCAGGGTCTTTCTTATTTTTTTATCATTATTCTAAGGCAGAGTATGGCCAATGCTTAGTGTGCTGGGCTGTCTGTAGTTCATGTCCTTTACAACCAAAATCAATAAAATAATTGTACTTATCACCTTGGGATCATGTATGCATTATAAAAGTGACAGTAAAATCCAATTATTAGGTCTGACAAGAAGATTGGAGGTGGATGGTGTTGACTAGCTGCCTTCCCTCTAGTCTATCATTAGGAATGACTAACAGATAGCTCTCATGAAGTTTTGCAAGAAATTCAACAAACAAACAACTAAAATTCCAAGCAAATGTGTACAGTCATGTCCAAAACAAGCATGGATATTTCGTGTCCAGTAGCTTGGTTGATATATCAAAAGCTTGTGATTTTCCCGAGCAAGATGTTGGTTTTTCCATCAGGATATAAATCATTGGTTATAAACTTTATGTTTTTATTGTTATGTTGGCTGTGAATGAGTTTATATTATTTGTTCTTCAGGAGCACGTTTGAAGAGCTAGCTGGAGATTTGCTATCAAGAATAGAGGCTACTATGAGAGACGTTCTACACGAAGCAAGTAAGTTGAGTTTTCTACTTCAGAGTTCTTACTTATGTACTATGTATCAGGGCTTGACCTAAGGTGTTAAAATTGCTGCTCTCTTATAAAAAAAAATATCTTCATGAACAGAGTTTTCAATGCATTAGAATTGTATTTTATTAACAACTCTTATTTATGAGATAGCTCCCTCCCTTTGCTGACACCCATATATGAAGTATTCATGCCAATAAATTTTTACTCATGCATAACCTTTATGCATGTAAACTGCATAACCAGTGCAAATCCAAAAGTACTGACCACTCGGATATACTGTACCCATAAGTGTTTATTTGTGCTCCCAGAAAAACAAATAGGGGGTACACTGTACCTCTACAAATAGTGAAATAGAAATACCACGGTGAGTTTTATGTCTAGGAATTAAGGTATAAGCTTATGGATAGTTAACCATCATAATGCTGTGGCTTGCTGCATTACAATTTCAAAAATTATTTTTAGCATTTGTGCAAACCACTTTAAAATGATATTAAAAACAAACTAAATCAGATCAGCTAATATCTTCACTTTACAAAATAGGAACGAAGAAGATCAGATGTTATAAAAAATTTTAACATCTGTTTAAACCAGTTTATAATGATATTAAAAACAGACAAACTAAATCAGATGAGGTAATATCCCCACTTTACAAAATAGGAACGAAGAAGATCAGATGTTATAAAAATTTTTAACATCTGTTTAAACCAGTTTATAATGATATTAAAACAAACAAACTAAATCAGATCAGCTAATATCTTCACTTTACAAAATAGGAACGAAGAAGATCAGATGTTATAAAAAATTTTAACATCTGTTTAAACCAGTTTATAATGATATTAAAAACAAACTAAATCAGATGAGGTAATATCCCCACTTTACAAAATAGGAACGAAGAAGGTAATATGTTATAAATTTTTCTCTATCTATGTGTCTTATTTGTCATGAATTCTAAATTTTGTCAACAATTTAAAATGATCATGTTTCACAAAACTTACAAACAAAGAAAGTATACAAAACAATAGGCCTAAAATCTGTGTAAAAAGATACTGTTAACAGCATCTTAATGTGTTTTTTTTTAGATTCAAAATATTTGTTTCTCTTGTTTTGCCAGCTTCATTTAAATTGTAACTTTTAACGGAAGTACAGACGTTTTTTTCTTGTTCCGTTAGAACTAAAACCCAGTGACTTGGACGATGTTGGTATTGTCGGTGGTTCAACACGGATTCCTGCAATAAAGCAGTTAATACAGAAGGTGTTTGGCCGGGAGCCCAGCACTACACTAAACCAGGATGAGGCCGTAGCTCGTGGCTGTGTCTTGCAGGTACTTTCTCCTATGACCTATGTATCGATTTAAAATAAGCTGATTTTGAAGAACAGTGATAGGGTAAGTTGTTTGATTTAACGTAACTGTTTTTACCCACAGTGTGCCATGTTGTCACCCACTTTCAAAGTACGAGATTTCTCTATCACCGACATCCAGCCGTATCCAATAAAGGTTACTTGGGATACGAGTGTTAAAGAGGATGGGTAGGTTTTTGAAAGTTTTTCGTTTGGTTTAAAACTGTAGCAGATCCTCAGATTTAACTTTATATCATTTTGGTGATGTATATTAAGTAGTAGGTTATGAATGTGTTACTAAGTTAAACCTTAAATATTGTTAAGTAAGTTAGAACTAGTTTAGTCATATTATCAAAGTTGTAAATTTTGTATTCTTATGCATTGAATTTTTGTAAAGAAATAGATTAATTACTCTTTTAAATTACACTTTGAGCAAAATTACACCTTCGTACAGCACAAGAACACAAAATATTTCTTTATGTATGTGATATTACGATCTGCAAGTAGTAATTTTTTTATGTAAAATTACAAATTACTTTTCCAGTAATATACACATAAATTACAAAGTTTCACTGTATTGATTTGTTTTTCTCCCTCTACAGAGAAATGGAAGTGTTTCCAAAGTTTCACCAAGTTCCTTTCTCCAAGATGCTCACATTTTTTAGAACTGAACCATTTACTTTGCAAGCTCTGTACATGAATGATGTTGACATTCCATATCCTGACAAATACATTGGTAAGGGTTTAACATGAACTGGTATCATAATGAGAACCATGTTAACATTGGTAAGGGTTTTACATGAACTGGTATTATAATGAGAACCATGTTAACATTGGTAAGGGTTTTACATGAACTGGTATAATGAGGACCATGTTAACATTGGTAAGGGTTTAACATTGGAAAAATATGGGTTTAATTAATTCTGTGGTTTGTAGCACCTCAACTTACAAAGGAAAATATGGGTTTAATTAATCCCGTGGTTTGTAGCACCTCAACTTACAAAGGAAAATATGGGTTTAATTAATCTTGTGGTTTGTAGCCCCTCAACTTACAAA